TCTTAACCCTTTTGGACCGGTCCGGTCTCTGGAGCTCCAAATGCCTATAGGCCTCAAACCAAGGCCTCTCTTCTTCTGAGCATCGGCTGCCACCGACTAAGGTTCTCATTGGTATACGTATCAGCCTCATGCTACTCGTCTCCGTCTGCTTCATTATCTGTACGCTTGGTCCCGTCTACCAAAATTTGAATTTCCGGTCACTGATTGAGTTTTGCCTCTCGGCACCATTATCATGCTTCTCAGCTCACATGAACGTCTCCCGCTCTGGTTTGGCATCTCTTTTGATCCTTATCGCAACTGTTCAATGCTGGTATAGGTACCACTAACGTCAGCGTAACCTCTATGGCCTGGCTAGATTCTCTTTGCTACTGTGCCTCTCATTCTTAAACCTTTGGACCAGTCCGGTCTCTGACGCTCCAAATCCCTACAAGACTCAAACCAACACCTCTCTTCTTTTGCTCATCGGCTGCTATAGTAGTGTTCACATCCCCGTCTATCGGACTGTTCTCTTTCTTATTGTACCAGCACCAGATTCTGAGCACTTGAAGTTTTTCGGATCTCATCCACTCCTCTGTTTAGCCATACTCTACTGTATACTTATTCGGCCCCGCTTCTGGTCAATATCGCAACTATTCTGGTGAAACACGTAGCATTTGACGGTGCTGTCTGCATTATTCCCTTACCCTTGTTCACTTCCGGAGCCAGCACTACTGTCGTTTTCTCTTTACGGCTGTTGCAAGCATTGCTGTCTCTTCTCTCACTTGTATTATACACTGTACATCTATCAGTCTATGCCGAGCCTGATAAAGCCTACCGCTCCTATATATTAATTAATCAGGCTGCCAGCAACTCACTAATTAGTGAGTTATAACTATCTGTCTACTTGACTTCAACGTTCCACCGTGAATATCCAACTTAGAGTGGCACACCTAGCATCTTATGGGGCTGCTGCCCACCCTACTGATATTCCTGGTCCATTTCAGCGCCGGCTGTACAACCTTTTCCTCGCTAAAGCCGTAGTATTCAGGCCCTTCTCGCTCCTGTGGTTATCGTTGAAGGCCTATCAGCGGGCGGTTTCTTCCTCATAATTAACCCGACTCCCAGTATCGCCCTTCCTGTCGTCTATTTGACTTGTTTGCCGCACTGTAGAAGTCCATATCTTTTTCCGCTATTCCAGGTCCCTTTAGGGCTGGCTTTGCAACCGTATTCTCGCTACAGCTGTAGTATATAAATCCCATTCTCGTCACAACTTTGACACTCCGTCTCACCCCTTCACCCAGCTGTTTCTCTAGCATCCGATTACTGAACATGTTACGTTATTATTTTCATGGGTCTCAAACCCGGCGTAGTAACTCAACTGGCTCTCATACATGTTCGAACGATAAGCTCTACCACTGTCAACCGATCGCTCAACCTATATCTTAAGCGCATATTAAACCACTCACTATGTTCTGATTCCCTCAACTCATTTACCGGTTAACAACGCCTGATACTCACGGTTTCCACACAGGACAACTTTTGCGTACGCTAGGCCACTTCGGACAGCATTTTTCTCTCACATTCAGCAAATACCGGGTTTCGTGCTTGCACGCAAAACTACGGATATGATGTATAACATATTCGGTCATTCCATTGCTTTCAACCAGCACAACGTTACCATAAATTTTATATTTATACATTAACATAGTCCTGTTCAATTTCCTTGGCAGTTTGCTCGGTCCGTTTTTCTTCTCTCCCTTGTTCTAAAGGATAACAATACCTGCACGGAACACCTCTGAGGACATACCTGCGACTCTCCCATGGACACGGAATCAATACAGAACAAAGAAATCACCCGCACTTCGCAATCCTGACACACTAAAGGAACCCAGAAAACTAAGCAAATCAATACAATTCACCTGAGTCGTCCGACTTCAACAGCTCCAACCACTTGCGGTCGACTCCGAAGGAGACTACACAACCATGGGAAACAAATTGGCGAAACGTGACTGCAAATATCCGCGAGGGTAATCGGTCAGATGCAATCTTTTCAATATCATATCACCAGTCGGCAGTGTTCCAGGACGTGGTGGGTCTTCGTCTGGCAAGCGTTTTCCCTACAAAAAGCCACAAATGTCTGTTTAACAACACTGCGACGTGGCGGATGTGACTCGCCACTCAATAAAGTCACCGCCCCTAACACACATTGGCAAGTTGACCGATACCACATTTACAAATTCTGTGCATATATCTGCTCTCGTACGAACACGCCTACATATTTGATTAGTGACATGCCACTATTCTTAAATATTTTCAGCTTTTTCCTCATGCTTCACTCACCTGACCCGCACTGTGTACACAACCTAATCGGACTAGTTCCTCATCAACATACTCCACATTAGTGATCTGATTCTTATCTCTACATCTCGCATTCTGTGGACATAGACTTCGTACAACCTTTGGGCCATATGGGCCCACACTACTGCCTCTAACTGTGCTACTCCCGCTCTCGGTGCTGCTAAGCATCTTATCATGTACAATAGGGCAATAAGCTGACCATGTCGCAAAGGCGTGCCTCGTTTTGTCGAGAATGAAATATTTATTTATTTATTTCACGTAACTCGCCATGTTGCTTTAACCCCTCTCGAAACCGAGGCGTTCCGGGTCGAAATGACGTTGACTGCGAACGCGTGCTCCTGAGCTCGGTTGTTCCTAGCCATTCGATCAATTTTCGTTTTCAGCTTGCCAACAAACTCCCGATAAATTTAGTCGGTCTCCGTTTTTACCAGGTAGTTATTCAACCATCTCCGTTCTCTGTTTGCCTCCATTGCAAGTCCTCCGGTCTGTTGCGTCCTTCATCTGATGACAAACACGGAGGAGCATACCGCCCTGGGCAAGACGGATATTACACTAATCATGATTAGAAAAGTTTGACCGTTTGCAGTGCCAAGATCAAGGTTCGTCGCTTTTGATTTTAATTAACGGATATTTGTGGTTCTCACAAGCAACGAATATTCCGTGGTCTTTATAACGGTGTTATGAAAGGAAGTTCTGCTGATCATTTGGCAGACTTACGTTGCAGAATATTAGCAGCTTCTAAAATCCAGGTTGTAGAAAACAAAAAGTTATCTACGCTTGGCATCAAGGACGGCTGCGTTCCGATGGGCTGTACTTAGGCTGTTAAAGAGTGAGTTCTATAGCGATCAATTATATGCTAACACCTGAGCAATATAAAACTGTGAGATACGGAAATGATCACGGTTTGCTTGGACGTGTGGCGTTAACCATGCTATTGTTCATAGCTATTCTGTAAGACCAACTTAAGCGCTCGTGTTGTCGCAGGAGTGTGTAGTAAAACACAGTACACAGATTGAAGTTACCAGTAAACCACTAGTTCTAATAATGTAGTTAGATTAAAGGTATGTGTTAATTCACGTAGAGCAACTCGGTAGGTACTTGAACCTAGGTTCGCTAACCGTCGTCGGAAAAGATATTCGGAAAATCTGCTGCAAAATTCAAAATATTCACATGTTGCACACGCCTCGATTCGCTTTTACAGAAGGCACCTTTGCGGTGTTCTGCTTCCTCTGGAACTTTTAGCCCTAAGTATATTGAAATTACTCAGCACCACTGCATCTGGAGCGCGTTTAGACTATGGAACGAGCTTCTCTCGCCGTTTGGTGCTGAAGGGCTGTGATCAAAGGCTACTGCTGGCGCCACACAGCTGACAAGTTTTGAAGGTAAAGCTCTATATCCTGTCTGCAAGTACTTGGTGAATTTCGCACTTGTCAGCACAATTATTAATAAATTCGCTTGTGGCTGGTGGAAAGCCGTTGGATTTACAACGCCTAATTTGGATATCGGGAAGTAGGTTTGAAACAGATAATTATCAAACTAATAGCTCAGTTGCCCTTGCTGGACAGAACACGCCTTTCTATACGTATAGCGTAGATTTAGTGGCAGCAGCAGAGACGTTTATTTTTCAAAGCGCTACAGGGCTCATGTTTCCTAATTAAGCGTACGTACACACTCTCGGATACTATGTGGGGTACTGTAGAAAATAGTTTAATCCATCATTTCCAGTTAAACACTAAAACTGCGTAATTAGGGGCTGACGCGACAGCTGCAGCATCGGTCGATGCTCGTCTGCGTTAGGCAGGGTTGGCGACGAGATCGTTCATTTCTAGCAAGTAGGTAAATACTGGGCCCTATACATTAACAAGTTATTTCTTAAAGCATCCAAAGGATCTGTTTAAATTCCCTATGGGGCGCAAAGACGATGATTGCTAACACAAGCTTTAGAATTAATTCTTACGTTAGCAATGAAAACATTACATATGAGCTGATGTCGGAAAACAGTACGTAACGGTTAGGTTAGCATTCGTTGCAGGTGCTTATAAGCCAAGACGTAACAACTTTTAAGTAGAAAACATCACGTTAGCTCACTGGTTTACATATTTTCTAAGCCGGTACGTGTTCAATGAAGCATAATCAGGTGATAAAAAGGACGATGGGGGCAACGCATAAAGACGACAAATATGGACAATTGAACAGCTCTTTAAAGCGCCCGTTCACAGGCCTACGTACTTTGACCATCCTTTGCTTATACATCAGCGTGTAGGCATATGTTTACCTGCATACATGAATGAAGATTACACCATAATTAAGTACGAGAACTACATCTATCCACATTGTTGTATCGAAAATATCCGTTGAACTACCACCGTCTGGGGCGAAAAGATAGATCTACATAGTAGCGTCCGCTTGCAAACTGCATCTACTTGATTTGAATTCTATTCGCTGTCAAATTTATCAAATGACCTAGATGTCCCTTATCTTTTGTTGTCTTAATCTATATCTGACAAAAGACGAAGCACCAACATAACTTTCGGACTTCTTTGTTATTTTAAAACAGACTCGGCAAATAACGTGTTCCTTGTTTGTACTATTTTATATAACTGTAGCCCACCGATTAAATTCTGCGTACTATTCTTGTTACACAAATAGAATTGTAGCACCTAATGACTTACTCGAACTCATACATTAGCACTCGTTTGACGCGTTCTGTAGGTACAGTTGCGCATGGATAATATTTTTAGCGACATTTTTGAGTAAAGTTTCTTTTGCGATGTTCCTTTTGCCACACACCGATGTGCTTAAAATAATTTGTACAATGAAAGATGTGTCGCATTGTACTCATTGCAGAGGGGTCAAGCAATACGGTTACTTTTGGAACACCTTGGTGTTGAATACAAAGAGCGTCTGTATGACCAGAGCGACGTATCTGTGTGGTTTGAAACAGACAAACACTCATTGGGTTTGGAATTTCCCAACGTGAGTTCGCACAAAACTCTTTGCATGTTGATCCTAGCTTCCCTATTTCCTGGACGGAGACTTCAAATTAACGGAGTATCACGCCATTCTGAGGTACATTGCAGAAAAGCACGACACAGGTTTGTTTAATTGTTGTTTTTCTGTGCACTAATTCGGATCGTTTAGTTGGAAAAACCTTACAGGAAAGGGCAAAAGTTAGCATGCTGGAAAGCGCCGCGTCCGAGTTACGCTTTGACATTGCCAAGATCGCATATAGCGCCCAGATGGTAATGCTTATATTTCAGCTATGCTTATGCTTCTGTGCGTTGCAGGAAGTTGAACGTGATAAATTTTTGAAGAGAGTGCCAATTATACTTAAACACTGGTCAGCTTTCCTTGGAGAAAAACCTTTCCTACTGGGTGACTCAGTGAGTATGAACTAACAATTGTCTTGGATGGTGCAACGTTTTCCTCTGCTTTCGTGTCAAACCATATCCGCATGCATTAACTAACATCTAAACCACTATGTATTAATACGTGTAAACTGGTTAGAGTCCGTTTTCTCCGGTACATTAGTATACTCTTTGAAGGAGAAGATATGACATACAGCTTCACTTTGTAGGAGGTTTACTTATTTGTATAGAGTTGCATAAACTTACTAGAGTGAAGCGGCGTTTAGTTGTGTTAGATTTCCCTTAAATCCCCAACTGACAGTGAAATACAGCTAAGTAAGATTTGGCGTCAGGCTTAACAACACACACCGTGTATTCCTTGTGGAAACAATTTAAAAGCGTGGCCGAAAGCAGTAGTCCAGAACGTTTTCCGAAGCTCCGCTATCTCTTCCACTTGGTTGCAAATTAATTAGTAGCGCAGGTGTATTTTACTTCGATCCGCGGTTAAATTTTATCATGACTTGAGCGGCTTTTATCGATATTATGAACCCTTATGTTGAATACTGAGTTGTCAGGGCACGATCTCCAACCTGGTTGATTTCCTTTGAACCATTAGAAATGTACTCCTAAAGGCGTACTGTTAACTTTGATTAGGATGGTGATACCCACCGTTGAGATTAGTAGTGGCACTTAAGTAACTTATAGTATAGGTTGAAGTATCCAATTCTTATTACCAGGTAGATTGCGTCAGCTTCGCAATCAAATCACGGAAGCCGCTGAAGTCTATCATGGACACGTAGCAGAAAGCATGCATTTAAATGCTACTGGTTTGGATAACCGCAGCTAATTTTTCATATACCCACAAGCCGTTCTTATACAGCAATATAACTACTTCGTTATTGCTTGAAAGGGTTAATTATAGTAACGTCCGTCTTGCGTATCAGCAGGTTTGCAGCTGCCTGACCCAGTTCAACGTCATTGTGGGAATGTTGGGCTCTGAAGAACCCTCTGAAGAACCAGACGTATTTTAGGTTTTTCTTGTCCCAAAGCACTGGAGGACTGGGATTTTGCTTCTTTGTTTTCAGCAGGCAGAAATGGCAGTCATGCAAACTCGGGGTCGCTGGTTGTTAGCTGGAACCTTTACTTATTAGTCATCAAGTTATGCCTCGCAGCAATTAAAGACCAGCTACTGCATCAGTTAGGCCTACGTGGTCATTTTGCCCAAAGTTCACTTCACTACTAATCACGGGCCATATTAAAACTGCGTTGCAAACGGTTTCCACAACGCATATTTCAAAAGTTCCATTTAGTCAGTAACCATTGCGCCAAACCTTCTTGTCGTGACTCGGCCGCAAAGGGATAAAATTCTTAACTAAAACATTAATGTTCCAGGGTGCAGTCGTTATATCTCTAACTACTGAGTTCAAAAGCGGTTACCTTGTGCGACTATTTTGGGTAGGGTTCATAAAAATTTTATCTGTCTCACCCGTAATGGTCCCAATGACATGTTTGACCAACTACATGCCAACTCGGAACGCCCATCGTATTTAGCTTAAGCATCGCAGTCTACTCACACAAAGATTGCTTCAAATTGTTATGTCAAAACAACCTTTTGCTGCATTTAGATGGAGGAAGGTCGATGGTGGTGTAGTAACAACTCTACGCCGATCCGAAAGATCCCAGTCCACCATATCACAATGAACCTATGGTTGAACTAAGACCTTAGCAGCATTTGCCGACAGACTTATTATTACCTATAATCGCGTTTCAGAAAAATGACTGCCTCTAAAGCGTTTTGTGAACTGTTCACAAAGCAAGATACGCCGGTTGGTTTGACGAAAATTTGTACGACGCTAGCAAGTAGGCAGCTGGTTGACTCGCTGGACGTGCATAGGGTTGACATATACGGACTAGGAACCAAGTGGCTTGGGATTACTAATACTTAACGTACGACCGCCTTACTTTGGATAAGCATGCCAGCATCAGAGGAAAACATAAGTGTGCTGTAAGCTCCAGCTGGCTCTAGATTCTTTCAACAGCTATTTTTATCACCACACTTCATTTTATGTGCAGGGTCACTGTGTTATCTACGTTCTTGAAAAACTTCAAACAAACTAATGCATGGTAGTTGTTCATAGTCGCAGGAAACAGTTGCTTTTTCTTGACACGTTCAACAAAATTTAATGTATACAGGCGATAAGCTGCATTTCAAAGACAGCTTTTCGTTCTCCTAAATTGTAACGTCAGTTGACGTCAAAATCAGTTGAATTTACACAGCATATCTTCTATCGAGAAGCCTCTCCGTTTGACGGTTTTGAATAGCTTTCATGCCAGAGACAAACTTTGTCTTGTAGTACATGACTAAACATACCCTTAGAAGTTAGTAAATTGCGTTGCCAAGGGGAGCCCTTGCTGGTGTAGGAAATAACTTAGCTTCATTTGTGACAATATTTAACTGTGCGTTCGGTCTGGCTTCGAAGTTTAGCATATTTGTCATGCCAAGTGCCATGACGAAATCTGTCACTCTTGTTAAAATCACTAAAAACAATACAGAGGAAACTCAAGTTTAAATTCAAGTTCAAGTTCAATTGGGACCGGAACAGTAGAAAAATCCCGCGAATGTTCCATCTTCGAAAACGTCGTTGATCCAACAGGGAAACCGGTGCCTTGATGTGCCAAAGGAGAGCCAAATCAACACACACGATTCATATGGTCAACCAAACAATGCCCACGTGCCCTGCACTAGCCGTCCCCGCTTTGCCGGCCACATGAAGAATAAAATAAAACAGTAACTCGGAATATGCTTGGAACCGACTGTGATTTCATGATTTTAAAAGGTTTGAATACAAATCGGTTTTGCTAGGGTTTTATTGTATTGTATTGTCAGTAAAGAAAAGAAAACACTGGAGAAGGCAAGCTAATCGAATATCGTAGGCAATATTACGATGTAAGTTAAAATGAGTTAAAGAAGCGTAAGCCGTAGTAGACGAAGAAAAGTTTAAGACACGAAAGGGAGGACTTTAAACGGCAGACCGAGAACGTCAAGTCGATGCTCGAACACTTTGACCGTCGGTGCCATCACGACGTCTGCAGTCAATGTGTTCCAATAAACTATAATCCTACGCGATAATCTAAAATTTGCCAAAACCCGGTCAGACCGGGTTGTAAGACGAATGGAAAATAAACAGCAATGGCCTTCCATTCGGATAGTGAGATTTTATGAGTAATATAACCATTTCTAATGACCAGAGAATAAATGGTACATGTTTAATTAAATGGCAGCTAACATTGGGCGTTGAGTATGCAAACAGCGAGGCCATCGATTTACACTAGTTGGTTGAACTAACCGATGAGGCACCTACAAGTTTACGCGGCTTTCCAGGTCTCACTGTCCTTGTGAATCGGTTTTCACTAGGTTGGATAACCTCGTTTACAAGGTCACGATAAAGCCAACCTTCTTGTAGCATCTCGACGTCTGCTCTTGCAAATTCCTAACCGATTATAATGGTACTGTGAACAGTGGTTTTATCAAGAATTGGGCGCCAATGGATGGAGCGCCTCAGGAAAATATCTGAGCTATTAATTTGACAGTGTCTAAGGCCAAATCGTAAATTGTGCGAGGTCCTTGCATGTTATCAGAATGCTTTTTGAAAAGCTGTTTGTTGGTGTTTTTAGCAAACTGCTCGCTTCTTGAGGCTCCACCAGCCGATTTCATAAACTCGACAGCGTAGGGTATCAATGCTGACATTAGAATCGTTCAGATAAAAAACTTTCGGAGAACAGCGCAGTAAACGAATATATTACAGTAAATAACTAACAGCCTACAAGGAACTACAATGAACATGACCGTAGAACAAATGGAGACAACTGCACCCACTACCACGACCGTTGCCCGGTAATGATGGCCGGACACGATGCCCACACATTGCTGAAAAGCATACATACGCTGAAAAATCCAGACACAAGAAACTGATGTTTTACTCACCTGGACACTCACAAAGATGACACCTTGTGAATCTCCAATCCTCAATTGGCCACAGCGATTATGGCCTCTCTGCACAAGATATCTGTTCAACTAACAGGGAAATTATAAGTCATTTGACTGTGGATACCCGAGGGTGAAATCTGACAGTTGTTCATTAGTGTACAAACGGATTTCTGACAGCGTTCCAAGACGTGGTGGGTTATAGCCTGGCAAGCGTTCTTCCTATAAACGGCCACAAATGTCCGTTTAACAACACTACGACGTGGCGGATGTGGCTCGCCACTGAATAAAGTCACCGCCCACAACTACATACTGGCAAGTCGACTAGAATCATAAATCAATATTTGCTTGACACGTTCGAGAATAGGATACTCCATGCCTACGTGAACCGTTTTCACTACACACATAGTAAACTGACTGTTTGCTATACGCACGCTAGAATCCAACGTATCGTCATTCAGTGACGATGTTATTCGTCATGATTACTTTTACAATTTCCGCATCCTGTACAATTTTAGGTTTACTTCCGATTACCTACAAAGCAGCGTGTTTGTTGCGAAACATAATTGCATGTAAATGTTGATCACGCATTATTTGAGGTGTCTCTATAAACTTGAGAATGATCTATTTATTTATTTATTTATTACGCCGTGTCAGAGCCTATAATTGCCTACCACTCCTGATTAATAATTAATCAGGTTGCCAGAAACTCACTCCCCAGCCATCTATTTGACTTTTACGTTTCACGTTGGATGTCAACCTTATAGTGGAACACCTAGTCTTCTTTTGCTTTGTTTCGCATGCTATTCTGCTATTACTGGTCCCTCTCGGAGCTGGCTTTGCAACCGTTTTCTCGCTACAGATGTAGTATGTAACACCTTCTAGCTAGTTTTTAACAATGGTTTATATTCAGACCATGCCTCTTCCTGCATAAGCAGGTAGTTCCTTCTTCATAATTAATCCGACGCTCAATACAGCTCTTTCCTGCGAACGCTTTCACTTGTATGTTGTACGGCAGAAATCCAAGTGGGATTGAAACACGTAGTATTTTTTTAGCGCTGTCGCTTATCGTTTTCCGCCATTACTGGTCGAATTCAGAGCCGGTTTTTCAACCGTATTTTCTCTACAGCTGTAGTATGTAGTTCTGTCCAACTCCCGTCACAACTTCTCTGACACTGTGTCTCACACCAGCACCCAGTTATTTCGCTAGCATCCGATTACTGAACCTGTTATGTTATTATTCT